TCTTACTCGAGTAACTTTTAAGATTGCTACTATTACTTTTACTTGAGTTAAAATTTCCGCAAGTACTTGTACTTTTACTTGAGTATAGATTTTATAAACTCTACCCACCTCTGATTGTAACTCACTAGCAATGATTCAGCATGTACATTTAATAATGTTAAAGAGATTTAATACATATTATTTAGATTAACCTTACCATTTTGTGAGCGAGTGCACATGTTCTGTGCTTCTGAATGGCTGTATTTAAATTTCTGTCGTGTTTCGTTTGGTGCAAACAGCCAAATTGCTAATCACTCCTCATGTAGCATGTTGTTAACACACAAGATTACAATGTAATCTGCTAGCCTAATGTTTAAGCTCGTAATATTTATTTGATAATTATTAACCTCACATGGAACGAATTTTTGAGTCTGCAACTGACCACTGGAGGTCGGTTTTGATTTTATGGGTACTTTTAATAGTGTTGTACTCTACCTCTCTCACAAATGCAGAAGCACCATCGGTTTTGCAGCTCTGAATATTCCTCACCTGGAGCATCTGGGTTTGCGTTCACTGAAGGAGATCAGTGACGGAGATGTGGTGGTTAGGAACAATCCTCAGCTGTGTTACACAGACGGCAGCTACTGGACGAAGCTCTTCAGATCTGAGCAACAGCGCATACGCACTGGAAACAACGCAGCACCGCACATCTGTGGTATCAGAGTTCATATTTCAGTTTCAACAACTGACTCTTGTAATTGCTATTTCAAGCTTTAGTGTCCTGATTTTTTACAAAACAAAAACTAAATCAATGGTTCACACGTAGCAAGATAATTTAAGTAATTGAGCTGAATACACAATAAAAAAGGTTTTAAGGTTGCAGAACAGTTTATTTAACTGTACATTCACTTTAAATTAACAATAAATAAATGGATATATAAATGGACAGACAAACAAACCAGGTTTCTGGATTCCAGGTCTCTGGATTCCAGTTTCTCTGGAGTTAATAGACTTATTTGGTCTGTGCTTTAGTAAAAAAATTTAATATTAGCTTTATTTTATAAGGGTCTGATAATATGTCTTCATGGTTTACAAATTTAAAAAAATGGTCATTTTGAGTTTTTTTTCCCCGAAAATTATAATAGGTGGAAATAAAAAATGTATTTACTTGTTATGATTGAAAACACAGTGGGGTGAAAAATCCATACATGCTTGAAATAACTTTAAACATTTACTTTTAAACCTTTAAAACAGGAACAAGAAAATTAATTAATTAATTAATTATTTAATATATATAAACAAATAAATAACTAAATTTTATTAATAAATATATATATATATATATATATATATATATATATATATATATAATGAATAATAATAATACCAAGAGGATAAAAACAAATAAATAAAAATAAAATAAAAAGGTTGTGGTGTGAAGGATGTGATGGGGGAAAAAAATCTGGGCTATTGTAACAAATATGCATTTCTTAACTGTTAAAATGTTGTCTAAATAGGAATATAAATATGTCTGAAAATTTAACATAATTTGACGAGTCATCATTATTTTTCAGTACAGCAGAACAGCACCTGTGACAGTATGTGTGGAGATGAAGGCTGTTGGGGTCCGGGGCCGTCCATGTGTGTGTTCTGTCAGCACGTCAGCCGTAGGGGATGCTGTGTCAGTCACTGCAACCTGCTGAACGGGTGAGAGCGCAACATTTCAGAAAGAAAAACATCCTAAAATTCTTAAAGGCAGGTGCTCGATCAAGCCAAACGCAATAGAAAAAGTCCAAAACAATAGCTCTTATTAGCTATCAAAAGACAATTTTAATTTGACGGCTTTTCACTTGACCTGATGAAGACCATGTAGTTTGAAACGTGGGCGAAATAAATTTGTCTTTTCAAAGCTGACTTTTCAGCATTCTTACTCATCATCTGGTCACATTTTACAAGGATAAAGTAGTTTATTTATTTACCAGCATAATAATATAATAAAAATACAAATATAAAAATAGCTAATATATCTAAAAAATAGTATTAATTAATTACATTTATCTTGGTGTGACTCTTGAGTCAGATATGAGTTTCAATAGTCATGTCAAAGCAAGAACTCAATTAAAGAATTAACACTTAAAACTGCAGTCCTAATATAAATATATAACCCAAACAATATTGTCTGCTGATGTTGACTTGTTCTCTACATGTGATGTTTTCTCAGAGACCCTCGAGAGTACATGTCAGATAATGTGTGTTTGGCTTGTGACCCACAATGCAAGGCTCTGAACGGGACGGCAAGTTGTCATGGGCCGGTATGTCACACTGTTCAGTGCTTAAAGCCCTAATTAATCATATAGTGATGCTTAAAGGGACAGTCCACGCAAAAATAAAAATCTACTCACCCTTCAATCAATTGAATTCATTTATTCTGATTAAACAAATATAAAGAATAATGAAAACCTGTAACCATTGACATCCATAGCAGAAAAACTAATTCTATGGCAGTCAATGGTTACAGGTATTCAACATTTTTCAAAATATCTTCTTTTTTGTTTAACAGAAGAAAAGAAAGGTTTGGAACAAGAGCATGTAAATAATGACAGAATTTTCATTTTTAAGTGAACTATCCCTTTAATAAGCTTTAAAGTCACATTTCTGTGTAGGATGTGTTAATTTGGTTTTCTTTTTCTGCCTTTTTAGGGTGCTGATCAGTGTACAGAGTGTGCTCACTTTAAAGATGGGACACACTGCGTGGCACAATGTGCGCACAAAGTGCAAGGCCCTAATAACAGACTAGTCTGGATGTACCCAGACAAAAGCAGACAGTGCCAGCCATGCCATGCTAACTGTACACACGGGTAAGAACAAGTTAAGAACGGCTGGATTATTAGTACTTTATTATTATAAATTCTATCCAATTGAAGTCAGAATTATTCGCCCTCCTGTATATTTTTTCCCAATTTCTGTTTAACAGCTATATTTTCTTTTAACACATTTCTAATCATAATAGTTTTAATAACTCATTTCTAATAACTGATTTATTTTATCTTTGCCATGATGACAGTAAATAATATTTGACTAGATACTTTTCAAGACACTAGTATTCAGCTTAAAGTGACATTTAAAGGCTTAACTTGGTTAATTAGGCAAGTCGTTGTATAACGATGGTTTGTTCTGTTAACAACCAAAATAAAATATTGCTGGCTACAATTTTGACCTTAAAAGGATTTTTTTTTTTTTAATTAAAACTGCTTTTATTGTAGCTGAAATAAAACAAATAAGCCTTCCCGCAGAGGAAAAAATATTATGGAAAATACTGTGAAAAATTCCTTGCTCTGTTAAACACCATTTGGGAAAAATTAAAAAAGATTCAGGAGGGCGAATAATTCTGTCTTCAACTGTATGTTTATTATTAATAATATATTATTTTGGTCACACTTTATTTTAAGGTACAATTCTTGCTATTAATAAATTATTAACTATGACTTTTAACTAATTTGCTGCTTATTAATAGTTGTTATCAGAATAACAAGAGAGCTAATGTAAGTTTACACATACGAGAAATTTGAATTCATAACAAAAGTATCCAAAGAGATCACAAAATCATTTACATTTACATTTAGTCATTTAGCAGACGCTTTTATCCAAAGCGACTTACAAATGAGGACAAGGAAGCAATGTACACAACTATAAGAGCAACAATGAATAAGTACTAAAGGCAAGTTTCAGGTCTGTAAAGTCTAAGAAGGGAAGTGTTAGTAGTTTTTTTTTTTTTTGTACAGTTAGTTAGTGTGATATTCAAAGAGGCAATTGCAGATTAGGAAGTGAAGTGGAGACTAAATAGTTGAGTTTTTAGTCGTTTTTTGAAAATAACGAGTGACTCTGCTGTTCTGATGCAGTTAGGGAGTTCATTCCACCAACTGGGCAGATTGAGCGTGAGCGTTCGCGAAAGTGATTTTTTTCCCTCTTTGGGATGGAACCACGAGGCGACGTTCATTCACAGAACGCAAGTTTCTGGAGGGCACATAGATCTGCAGAAGTGAGAGCAGATAAGAAGGTGCTAGGCCAGAAGTCACTTTGTAGGCAAACATCAGAGTTTTGAATTTGATGCGAGCAGCAACTGGCAGCCAGTGCAAACGGACTAGCAGCGGAGTGACATGTGCTCGTTTAGGTTCATTGAAGACAACCCGTGCTGCTGCATTCTGGAGCAGTTGAAGAGGCTTGATAGAGTTAGCTGGAAGCCCAGCTAGTAGAGAGTTGCAGTAATCCAGTTTGGAGAGAACAAGAGCTTGAACAAGGAGTTGAGCTGCATGTTCAGATAAGAAGGGTCGGATCTTTCTGATGTTATAGAGTGCAAATCTGCACGATCGAGCAGTTCTAGAAATGTGGTCAGAGAAGTTTAGTTGGTCATCAATCGTTACTCCAAGGCTTTTCACCATTTTGGATGCAGTAATGGTTGCCCCATCCATCTGGATTGAAAAGTTATGGTGTAGAGTCGGGTTGGCAGAAACTACAAGCATTTCCGTTTTTGCGAGGTTCAGCTGAAGATGATGATCTTTCATCCAGTGTGAAATATCCAACAGGCAGGCTGAGATACGAGCTGGAACCGAGGGATCATCAGGATGAAAAGAGAGGTATAGCTGGGTATCATCAGCATAGCAGTGGTAGGAGAATCCATGTCTCTGGATGACCGGTCCTAGAGATGATGTGTAGATGGAGAAGAGAAGTGGCCCAAGAACAGAGCCTTGAGGTACCCCAGTGTTTAGATGCTGTAGGTTGGACACCTCTCCCCTCCAAGACACCCTGAATGACCTGTCAGAGAGGTAAGATCTGAACCATTGTATAACAGTGCCCGCAACGCCCAGTAACTCAAGCGTAGATAGCAGGATCTGGTGGTTGACAGTGTCAAAAGCAGCTGACAAGTCCAGCAAAATGAGGACTGATGATTTAGAGTCTGCTTTAGCCAGTCTGAGATCCTCCACGACCGAGAGCAGGGCAGTCTCAGTTGAGTGGCCTTTCTTAAAGCCGGATTGCTTGTTGTCCATGAGATTGTTTTGAGTAAGAAAGTCCAGGACTTGATTGAACACTACTTTCTCCAGAATCTTGGCCATGAATGGAAGCAGGGATACTGGTCTGTAGTTTTCAAGTAGCGTATGGTCCAGGTTGGGTTTCTTTAGCAGTGGGGTTACCCTAGCCTGCTTAAATGTAGTGGGGAATAAACCAGAGTCAAGAGATGTGTTAATTATGTGAGTCAGTGTTGGTATGACTGCAGGAGAGATGGCTTGCAAGAGATGAGAGGGAATGGGATCGAGTGGACAGGTGGTTGCATGGCTAGATAGCACAAGTTTGGACACCTCAGACTCAGAGAGCTGAGAAAAAGAGGTGAGTGTGTGTGGTGTTGGTGTTGTATCTTGCGTGTTTGTTGTAGGTGCAGCAAATTGAGCACTGATTTTTGCAGTTTTGGTGCAGAAGAATGTAGCAAAGTCATCAGTAGTAAGTGTGGAGGATGCGGGTGGAGGAGGAGGATAGAGGAGGGAGGAAAATGTTTTAAAAAGTAGGCGAGGATTAGTGGCATTGTTGATTTTCAGACGGTAATATGTCTGCTTTGCAGAAGTAACCTCAGCTGAGAAAGAGGACAGAAGAGTTTGGTATGTTAAGAGATGTGCAGGATTTTTAGTTTTCCGCCACATTCTCTCCGCAGCCCGAAGTTTTGAGCGATGCTCACGGAGAGCATCCGAGAGCCAGGGTGCAGGAGGACTGGCACGGGCTGGCCTGGATGCAAGAGGGCATAATCGGTCTAGACATGATGCTAGTGTGGAGCAGAGTGTATTAGTGGCACTGTTCGAATCAAGTGCAGTGATTTTGCGAGATGGAGGAAGAGAGTCTGATCAGTGACTGAAAAAAAAATACTGATAATAAAGGAGTAAAAAATAAGAAAACAGAATACAAAACATAAGTGCTGCACGATGGCGCAGTGGGTAGCACATGCGCCCTGACAGCAAGAAGGTTGCTGGTTCAAGCCTCGGCTGGGTCAGTTGGTATTTCTGTGTGGAGTTTGCATGTTCTCCCCATGCTCCGGTTTCCCCCACAGTCCAAAGACATGCGGTACAGGTGAATTGGGTAGGCTAAATTGTCCATAGTGAATGAGTGTGTATGAATGTTTAGGTAATGTTTACGTAGAAAGGGCATCCGCTGCATTAAACATATGCTGGATAAGTTGGCGGTTTAATCCGTTGTGGCGACCCCAGGTTAATAAAGGGATGGTGAATAATGAATACAAAAGATGTAAATTACAAATGTACAGTATGTACAGGTACATTGCTATATACACCTGATATTGTATGTGTAGCTATATAATGTAAATTGAAATGTGAACTATGTTGTTAAATAAGTGTATATACAGTATGTCTATAAATAGTGTTGTTGTTCCACAAGGAACTAGAATAAGATCATGCAGAACTTATATTTATTAAGTACTTAAAAACAGCCAATCTCTTAATATCCACAGCGAGAATTGATCCTTAAACCAAAGTATTACCATTATTTCTTGATTATTATATGGAATTAAATAATTGATAATTAACAATCATAATAAATAATTCAACTTAAGATTTGTGTAATTAGTTTTGTAAAATGTGTGTGTTTATTATAGGTGTAGTGGACCAGGACTGCATGGCTGTGAACCGAAAGGGTACAGTAAATTATCAGTTACTATTCTTCAGCATTAAAGTCTGCATGAAATCAGAATTTATAATGTTTATTTTGCCTATAGTCTTACAGTGAACAATTAATACATTCTGTTATAACAACGGTTTGTTTTAATAATCTTTATTTAAAATCTAACCATTTGCTTTTGATCTGGAACAGCAGTCCTCCATTGATGTCAGTTTGACAGCTTCTGTGATATATGCATAGCCACGCCCCTCCAACTGTTAGTTTGCTGGAAGTGAAAGATGAGAGAAGTACAAAAGAAAGCCACACCCCCTTCTTAATATTCAATTTCAGTGGGAAATACATAATCACAACTTCTGGTTCACGCAGACTTGAAAGCAGATCAATAACTAATGCAAAATAAGAATAAAAAAAAAATCAAGATCTGACTCATTTTACATTCTTAATACACATCTTTGAAGTACTGATTTATCTGCGTACAATATAATACACACAACAGAAAAAATGTCCTAGAATTCAAAATAAGAGTTAGCAGTAAATAGCACAATAGCCTCACAGCACATATTCTCCCCGTGTTGGCGTGGGTTTCCCCCACAGTCCAAAGACATGTGCTATAGGTGAATTGAATAAACCAAATTGACCATAGTGTATGTGTGTGAATGGAAGAGTATGGGATGTTTCCCAGTGTTGGGCTGCAGCTGGAAGGGCATCCGCTGCGTAAAACATGCTGAATAAGTTGGCGGTTCATTCCGCTGTGGCGACCCCTGATTAATAAAGGGACTAAGCTGAAAAGAAAACAAATAGGTAAATATTTGAAAAGATTCATATAAATAAATGTAAAAAATATTTTCACTTATATTTTAGCCCGCGCGTGTGCCTGTTGCATGATCTGTGCATGTAGCAGCACTATTTCATCTCGATTATTTTACAGCATTGGGGAAAACACGATATGTGTGCACATTGTTGCTTCACAATCGTGGCATGAAGATGAAAGCTATAAATGCATTTATTAAGCCAGCCTCAAATCTCAGAGTGTCCTCGTGTAAGTACGCAGAAAGGATGTTCAGCTATATAGTATGGAAGAGGCAGTGCTTTCGAGTCACATAAAACAAACATTTGTTGAAAATTTATCAGCTGGCTTTCCCTGCATTTATTGACAGTAATACAGAGTTTCCTATCTCTTACACTTTTTTTGCTTGTTCAAACTACTTATTTAAAATAAGCTGAATCATAATAATTCTTGAGATTTCATTGGGACAACTTAATTTTTTTATGTTCAATCCACATAAATTTGTTAAAAGTGTTAAATTAACTCAATCGATTTGTGTTGGGACAACATGAAAAAATTGTGTGGATCCCTGCATTTTTTACAGTGTTTGTTTTTACTATTTAATCAGATATTAAAACACATTAACATTGAAGCACTTAACAAATGAAGTTAACAAGCAATCTGGGCGAGTCATTCACAGTGAGTCAATTCATTTATAAATGAACCGTTTTTTAACGACTCTGAATTTATATTTCAGTGACAAAAAAGAGATCTGGCGCCACCTCCTGGACATTTTGGTTTCAATTTAATGTGGCCTGTAATTTAAAAATTAGAATGGAATACTTTAATGATTGGACTTTTCCAAATGCTGAATATCAAAATAAACAGTGCTCAGCATATTTGACTACACCTCATTTTGAAAATGAATATTTTTATCCATTTCTGTGAATACAGGCAATGTATTTTGGTTCATTTAAACAAAACAGATTTCTTAAACAGATATATTAAAATAAAATTTTAGTCACTAAATAACTCCTTATAAAATCTAAATAGCCAAAATAAAGGCAAAAAAAAAAAAAAATCACTAAAACTTAAAAAAAAAAGAAAAAAAAAAGAATTAAAATGAGTTACATATATACACACACACACACACACACACACACAATAAATGATCATACCTGTGGTACTCTTTTCTTAATCTAGATCTTGCCTTTGCCCTGTGGATCAATCAGCAAATGATAACGAGCAGCTTTCGTCATGATGATGCCGTTCTGAATGGACAGGTCATCATTGGGGAGACCCTGCAGGTTCCATTCTATCATCATCAAATTCTCATCAAATTCAGGTTCTGCAGGGAAAACCATTGTATACGATGTAAAAGCTGTAAAAACAAGCTTGAATATATGACTGATTTTGGTGACACTTCACTTGAAGAGGTCATAAACATGATTGACATCAGTGCATAATAATTGTCCTAAATATTTTTCACTTCTTCACTGGAACAAGCTATATTTTTCATTCAAATGTCTCATTAAAGGGGTCATTACTCTGTTGAATCATTTCTTTAGAGTTCCATTAATATTTAATGACATTGATGAAAAATGTAGCACTGTAATCGGAGGTAAAAAAAGTAAATAAAAAAAAATATTTATATA